AACATGTGTTTTCAATTGTCACAATTGGCTCCAGACTCTGAGCTTCATCGTCGCCTTTTCATTTCCTTCGCTCAGAATCGAGTCCTAAGCATACGGTATCTTTGGTGATTACTGTTAAATGGCATGTAACTGTTAACCAAAAGCCGTTAATTGTTATGAGAATCCAGAATTAAGAGGTTTCTGATCGACTTCCTGTCACAAAAACAGCCGGATCTCAGGGTAAACTTTGTTTTCAATTATTGTCGAGCTTTTTAATTTATGCGAAATGAAACACTGGAGATTCTAAGAGTGAGTTTCTTTTTCATTGTCGATGAGAGGCAATGGAATATTAAGATGTCAATAATAATTTTGAAACACTTTCCAGAGAGGTGTCACTTTATCCATCTCTTTTACCATAAGATGTGCTTGTCATTATAAAGCATATCTGCATATAAGAAATATGATGATTCATGCAAAAACATTGTTTACGTTTCAGTAACATCTGTTCGGTCAGTAGCGTGGACAAGAATATTTCGAGCATTTCCCAAGGCTTCTTCCTTTCTTCTCCTAATCATGAATAGTTGCCAACCGCACGAACATCTCAGCAGTACAGCATCCATCGTGCTATCAGCGTGGCTCTCTCTGTCCAGTCTTGCAGCTGTAACTGGAAACGCAGTTATGTTGTGGTTGTTCTACAAACACGCGTCTCTACGAACAATTTCCAACCGCTTTTTAGCCTCTTTATCAATAGCAGACCTATTAGTTGGGCTTGTTGTGGGCCCTACGTTGATCGTCATTGAATTTTGGATTCAGCCTCCAGTTCTCTCAAGTTTGTTCGACTTTGCAGAGATATTGTGGGTTCACACAACCGCCGCCACCACTTTCAACACTTGTTGTGTTTCTATAGACCGGTTTATTGCGATTCGGTTTCCTTTCCGTTACCAGGTCAGTGTAACAAAGAAAAGATGTTACACAGTTATTTTTTTGGTGTGGCTATTTTCTTTAATTCTTCCTTTCTCGATGTTTCTGGTAGATTATGAGCCCATGATAAATTATTTTGTGTCGATGATTTTTCTTGCGTTTATAATATCTGTTATTCCATTACTTGTAGTTTCATTTTTCTACGTTTGTATTTTTAAATCAGCAAAAAAACAATTTAAGAGAATATTAGCAAGAGAAAATCCTACAATAAACAACGATAGTTTTAAAGCTCGTACCATACAAAACCTTAAAGCTATCAAAACAATTGGTCTTGTTTTGGGTGCTTGCATTATCACATGGATGCCCAACTTAGTTCTGTTGCTTGTTGAATGTTATTATGTCTTAGAAAATAACTGGGCTAGAATTTGTTCGTTGAACCTTGTTGTGTCGCCGTGGGTTGGGACAGTCGCTTTTACCTCATCAGCAATTAATCCATTCATATATTACCTTCGAAATCAAGAATTCCGCGAAGCCTTTCGTCGTACCTTCCGTTGGCTTCCTCGTAAACGCACTGGAGAAAGCACTCCACAAACTGGGTTGAAACCAAGTCGACGCCAGATTTTACGAACTGTTGTGAGACCTGGAGATGCAGCGAATAAAGAGACAGAGCTCTGAGGACAACTCAGTCGAAACAAGACTTTTTCTTCTATGAACAGACGAGGCTAAAACGGACCAAAACTTTCATTAGTCCATTTTCCTGTAATTTCGGTTAAAAATCTAATTAAAAAACATCTTCAGAAGAATGCCCAGACATTACCTTTCACTAGTATTTCTTATTCTGTTTTGAGAATCCTTTAAGTTCAAGACGTTCTTTGATGTTTACGCACATTGATGCCTAGAGATTCGCGGACCAGTAACAACTGTTTCCATCTTCCTTCATTCGTGCTCAGTTCCCTCAACTTTATTGCTTCTCTCTTGGTTTTTTTTGTCGTGATCCCTCAC